CCCCCTTTCCCTCCCCTTCCCTCCCCTGTCCGAGTTGAAGTAAAAGTGCTGACGTTGTTTTTTTTTTGACGTTTCCTTACTCCCTCGGTGGGCATCCTCGGGGAGTCGCCGTCATCATTTTTTCTTATAGTTCTTAAAACGATTTGATTGATTTATTGATTGATTGATTCATTCCTTCGTTGTGTCACTGAAGTGCTAATTTGTCGCATTTTGTTGATTGATTATTTGCATCGCTGCGCTCGCTGCGCGGAGTTCTTTTGTTGTCCTTTTTCTTAGCTTTTACCCCCCGCTCATCTCTGTGGGCATACGCACGTGGAGTTGCGTGGATGTATCTTACGGGAATTCTAGTCAGATTATGTCCATGGAGTCGTGTGAATACGACCTTTCTCTCCCATTGCCCATCAGTTTGCTGCTGTCATCAGGGCAGCGGTGCGTGCTCTGTGGGCATGCTCACACGTGGAGTTCTCTGGATGTACCTTACGGCAATTCCAGCCAGATCATTTCCAAACAGTCCTCGTGTGAGTACGATCTCTCTGTTGTACGTTCTGTTCCTAATTCTTTTTCGTCTTTCCCCTCCCCCCCTTCCGCTCCCCCTTCTTACGTTTTTTTTATTTTTTTGTCATAATAAAATAATATTGCAGTGTAGGTTGTGTGTGCTGTTAAGTGCGATGTCTCGCTTTGTTGATGAAAAACTAATGTTTTAATTTTTCGTTGTTGTGTAATTTGGAGAAATGCGGTTATCTATTAACGACGTGGTAGGTTGATTGATTGATCGGTTCCTTGATGCGACGAATACGCTATTCTTCCTTTATTACTTGATTGGGTATTAATTAATTGATTGATGAATCAGTCCCAAGGAGGGTGTTTTGCTCAGAAACTGAGGAGACCAGCTTTCAACACTGCGCCCGTGCATTTACATTTCATTTCAGTTGGGCCCTCGCTCCACTGCTCTCCCCACGAGCACAAAAGACAAAAAATATGGCGGTGTATTTTCCCATGTTCTAGCGGAAGATTCATTCTCATTTTGCGCATTTGGTGAGTAGTGGAGCGAGACCCTTGGAGTCATCCATCCGGCATGGCGGCCTCTGTTTAACTTAACGGAGGCGCGAACGAAGTCGATGATAATTGGTGGGTGTATAGAGTGCCACGTGTCATTTTTTAAAGCGTCTTTCTTACGCTTGCGTATTCTTTTCTTCATTTTGATTAGTTGGGGGGTTGATTGATTGGTCAGTTCCTTGTGTAGCGCGAATTCCCTCCTCTCCTGCTCTCGCTAAGGAAGGAACATTTACGATGCGATTTTTTTTTAAAAAGTAATCACTTAATTCCCCCTCCCCTCCCCCTCCCTTTCTTTATTGGTCGCTTCATTTTCATGGAAGTTTTAAATGGACGATGAAAATCGGCTCGCTACAGAGGATAGGCAGGAGGGAAAGTTTTTTTTTTTTTTTTTTTTTTTTTTCGGCGAGGAATTTGAATTGCAGGGCAACCTCGGCTCTACCCTCTTGCTCGTTTTCTTTCTCTTTTTCTTTTTTTTTATTCTTTTTTTCCACGTTCGTTTTCTTTCTCTGATCAGCCGCCGGAAATAAATCCCTAAGCTGCAGCAGCCGCCTCTCCGAACCTAAAACCGACCCGCATAGATGGAAATTTCCGTGAAGGTTCCGAATCTTTTCCGTGAAGGTTCCGGATCTATTCGCCAGGTCGATATGTTATGATTGGGATTGGGACCCATTGCGAACCCAAGATCGACCCTCATGGTGGAAGTTCCCATGAAGTTTCCCTGAACTTTCCGGATCTCTTCGGCAGGTCGGTATTAGGTTTGTTGTGTTACGTATGGGACCGCTGCGCCGAAGCTACGACGAACCTTCATCGAAAGTTCCGTATCTGTGTCAGGTTGTGTGTGTTACGTGGGGCATTAGTCGAAACTATAAGATTGATCCTTACTGTGGAATTTTTTTTTCTTTTTTCTTTTTCGGTGGAGGCTTTCTTTTATGTATGCTTTTTTCCCCTGTATCCATGATATAGGAAATATATATAGATATAATCGAATCTATGAATAAAAATTACAGTACTAACAAACAATCAAATAATTATTCACTAGTGCGAATTTGACAGATATCTACGCCGAGGTCGGTGTTAGGTTTGTTATATCACGTGTGGAAGCTTTGGCATCTCTTCGTCAGGGTCTGTGTGAGGTTTGTTATGTTGCGCTTCGAGGGATTACTACGTAAAAAGGCTGTGCAAACTATGTATGTGGATGGGTGTTCGAGTAAGGTTCATGGCGTTTGCATTTTTCAGTTGGAGGATTGCTAAAAAGGCTGTGCAAACTGTGTATCTGGATGGGTCTTTGAGTAAGGTTCATGGCGTTTGAGTTGATGAGTTCGGAGAGATAGGAAAGCAATGGCCAACGCTTGCTTCTGAACACGGATTGCAAAACAAGACAATCTCTTCAATCGCGTTCCCTGTATTCAGCTCGCGCACTTTTGTGGGGGGTCTGTAAACGTGCGTTCGATGGGCATGTTGTTTGCCGCCTACTCTCTCTGTCTGTCGTTTTCTCCCATTTTCTTTCCCTTTTTTTTTTTTTTTTTCCCAGTTGAATAGTACATTTGATCGAAGGGGTTAGTCCGCTACTTAGTCGACCAGGACTTGAACTGCTGATCTGTTTATCAGAAGTTATAACACGCGTGCGTTGCTGAGCCACAAGACATCCCACCTCTTTCTCCTCCTCCTAATCCCGTCTGTTGCCGTTTTTTTCTCTACCCCTCTCTCTTTGGGGAACAAGAGGAGGATCGAAAATGAAGAGGAGGAAAAAAAATTGAAGTCAAAGGGGTAGCACGTCGTAATGAACCGGATTTGAACTCTTGATCTCTTCAGTGAAAAATCATAATTGCACGTTTGTACCATATACATCTATAATTGTTCTCTCTCCTCCTCCTCCTCCTCCTCCTCCTCCTCGTCCTCCTCCTTCCCTGCCCCTCTCCTCCTCTCTCCTGTCCTCCCCTCCTTCACACGTTTCGTCTTTATTTGTTCCGTCTCTATCTTTTTCCCGCTCTCTCTCTCTTCTCTCTCGTCTCTCTTTTTTGCGTTCCCTCTCTCTCTGCGGTTTTTCCGCTCTCTATTTGTTTCTTCTCTCCCTTCGTTTCTCTCCATTACTCCTCCCCTTGTCCCCCTCTCCCACCTTTTACTTTCCCCCTACCTCGCCTGCCCGGCCTCCCCTACACACGCCTCTCCTCCTCCGCGTCCTCGGTCCTCCCAACTATATCGTCCCTCGGCGCGCTCTGTACTTTTTATTATTTTCTTTCGCCCTCTGTACTTTCTCCTCATCTTTGGCCTTGTTCAGCGACGTCTCCGTGGGTCGTCTATCTTTTCCACACGCTTGTTATGCTGACGTTTCCTCCTACAAGTGCTGGTGTGCCTCAGCTTTCTTACACGTGGCGCCTTATCTTTCTTGCACGTGGCCGTGCTATTCTTTCTCTCGCTGTGCTATTTTTTTTCTCTCGCATTCTTCGACGTGTTTCCATCCCTGTTCTTCCTCTCGCGTTTAATATCTACGCTCTCCTTCTCCTCCTATCCTTACTTACCTGTGTGCATGGGTCTTGTTTTTTTTTCCCCCCTTTATGGATCTCGTTCGTTGTGCTCTTGTATGTTTCATAGCAACTTCTCTTCTTCGTCCTCTGCCTGACCCTGCCTCGGCTGCCTCTCTGTCTTGGCTGCTTGGCTGTTTGGCTGGCATTCCGCACAGGTTGGGAAATGCTTCATCCCTCGGCGAGTGAAAGTTTTATTTTTAACGTCAGTGTTGTCTTGTGTGCGGCTGTCTTCTGTCTGTGATTGCAATTGATGTCGAATGCACCTGTCACACAATGCCGCCCATGGGACTGTGTCTTTGGTGGGGTCCGTGTTCTGGTGTGGACGTTCATGTTTGTGGTGACTGTATGCTCTGCTGCCGCCCAGTTCCGCCGTACCAGGAAGTCGCTATGCCTGCGCTGTCGCCCACTATGTCCCAGGTGCGATCCATCGACACCCTGAATGCTCTCTGGAATCGATCAGTTAATGATCAATTGATCAAAATCAATCAATCAACCAGTCAATCAATCAATCAACCAACGTATTAATCAATCAATTACTTCTAGTCATCCATCTGCTGAGTGACCGACCAATTCTCAATCAATTGACCAATTCTCAATCAATCAATCAATCAATCAACCAGGCAATCAACGAATCAATCAATCAATCAGTTAATCAATCAACCAACCAACCAACCAACCAATCAATCAATCAATCAATCAACCAATTCTCAATCAATCAATCGACCATCTCCCTATCAATCGTATCAATCATAATCAAATCATATCAATCAATCAATCAATCGACCAGTTCTCAATCAAGGAATGAATGAATGAATCAATAGGAAGAAACAATTAATCAGTTAATTGCTCCCTGTCATCTATCTATAAAGTTCTCGACCCATTCTCAACCAATCAATCAATTAATGATGTGAAAGGGGTGGCTCAACCAATCAATCAATTAATGATGTGAAGGGGGTGGCGGTGACTGCCGTTAAATAACTGTGGGAAAAGTACAGAGATGACATAATGAAGTTCTGGAAAGGAGAAACTATACCTTTTTCAGAGAGTGGCTGGTCGCTGAGACATGCAGGTGTATGGTCTGCACCTGGACGTGCAGGCATCCAGGTGCAATATAATCGTGTTACCTTTTTCCAACTTGTATAGTGATTGTGTCGTGGTTATTCATATGCCATATGTACCAGTCGTATTGGGACAATTTTACGATGAAGACATGTTATCCTATACTGATTAATCATACACAAGGTCTTGCTCCACTCACACACATGCACAACAGAAAAAATATGGCGGTGTATCTTYCCATGTTCTAGTGGAAGATTCATTCTCATTTTGCACATTTGGTGAGTAGTGGAGCAAGGCCCATATTTTCAGATGCAGATTATCCGTGCACTGGCTGACAATGCGTGTTGAATATATCTTCTCCCTCTCTGCCGACGGTTTCCTGGGCAGTTCTATTTGACGATATATACCACGACTTCGATAGCACCCTGCTACTGTTTTCTCCGGTCAGGTTGAGCGTCTGTGGTTTGGGCCGTCACTAGGCGGCCATGCTGTGCCTCTAGTGCCAGCGGCGTGTCTCGAGTGTATTTTTTGGCTGCGATAGTCCTTTCTTTGTTTCGTGGGTGTTTTGCTGGCTGGTGATGGGGTGTGAACCGACAGTCTGTAGAGTTTTCCATCTGGTGTGGGTGAGTGATAGTCTGCTTTGATTTTCGTCACAGGTACCTTGAGGGCAGTGGTTGGTGGTCCCCACCACCTCAGAGGGGTATCAGTTGTCGGGCAGTCCTTGGTGCTTAAGCACAGCCGGGGTTAAGGTGGATTATCACTTACATTGTAATCAGTTAGGGGATTCTGCAGACTGTCGAGGGTTCGGCCTCCTGATGAGTCTGTGAAACTCCGACGAAACAGTTTGTCACAGCCCCTCGTTTGTTGTCCTCTTCTACACCTCTGCCTACGGGTTACAGTTTGTCACAGCCCCACATTTGTTGTCCTTTTCTCCCTCTCTGCCTATGGTTTACCGGGCAGCTCTCTTTGATGATATAATCGGATATATACATAAATTTACCGGGCAGTTCTGTTTGATGGTATAGATACATCGTCAAGCAGAGCTGCTCCGTAAACCGTAGGCAGAGAGGACTGCTGTTTACCAGAAGTCTATCCATACGCATTTTGGGACTGCGGTGACTTGTAAATGAATCCCTTGTGTCCCCTTCGTATGGCTGAGGAGAGTTGTATTCTGGGACTCTCATGCTGGGACCCTTTTTGTCTTTATGCTGGGACTTTGATTTTCGGTGGAACTTAAAACTCTTGGACTTTGATCATGAGACTCTAATTCTGTTTTATGCTTTTTTTGGTGAAAGATCGTCCCCAGGCAAGGATTAGTTTCCATTGGATTTTTTTTTTTTTTTGGATCATTTTGTTTTAGAATTACTTGTAGGAGGGCCAGTAATCTGCTGCCTTGTCGCGAGCACCAAACTGGAACCCAGTCACAGGTTCGCAAACCACGTGTGTCCCGCTTCCCCGCAAAAGAGAATAAAAGAAGAAAAGGGAAAAAGAAAAAAACCGGGAAAAGAATGCACCAAGCCAGAATCCTGACCACCTGCAATTGATACAGGAGTCGCTCAAAAAATCTGTGTGGTTTCAAACTTTTTGATGTTGACATCACACCAGTCACTTAAAATATTTTCTTGGTAGTTGCAGTGCCTCTGTGAAGGGCATTGCCCAGCAAGAGAGAGAGAGAGAGAGAGAGAGAGAGAGAGAGAGAGAGAGAGAGAGAGAGAGAGAGCTGATTGATTGAAACTGTGCGGAGGGGACATAGAGGGAGCCCGGATTGACTGAACTGGCACGCTCAAAGACTGACTGCTACTTCCGTCTTCACCTGAATAGAACCTCTGGTCATTAATGCTGCATCTGGACTCAAAATTACCCCAAATACAGTGATAATGGCCCCGATGTTCTATTCGGGCAAAATTGGTACTGATTCGTTGTAATCTACGCTTCCAAACCTAATATATTCAATCAAAGTCATATTTGAGGTTCAATTTCATTACAACTTTGGTTTCCTGCCCATTGCCCCAAATCTTGGACTGTTCCATTCCTCAGTATGCTGAATGTAATCCGCCTGTACACGGCCCCAGCCTTGCAGTAAAAGCAACTCGTCCCCACCGCACTGTAGCAATGGCTCGGCCTACCGAACCACAATGGGTGGTGCCGCCAGCCAAATAAGAAAAAAAGTGTGCCTCTGGCGGTTTGGAAAAGCTTGGCTCGCACTAAGGCGCCTCCAGGCCCGTGTGTACTGGTCGTTTGAGATAAGAATTGGGAGGACAAGATTCATAGGGATTCCTATAAAATAGTCCAGTGGTAAACCACCAGTACATCAGAAAAAGCAGATTGAGCCTCTCTTAAAAATTCGGTGGCCATGGACCGTCGATAAAATGAATCGGCGGTTCGTGGTGTCCTATTTTTTTAGGAGAGGCTCAATCTCCTTGTCTCAATGTACTGCTGGTGTGAGAGAGAACTTCCCCAGACTCCGAAGAATTTACGTCTAGACCTGGAGTGGACATGTGATGCCTGACTGGGGAAAAAATGAGACTATTCAATCCATGTGAATTTAGCTGCATATTCATGAGACCTATGAAAAGTTAAAAACTATTAAAAAGTATTAGAAACAACAAAGAGACCTATGAAAACGACAAAGCGAGAAGTTGTCATCAATTGAAAGTAGTAAAGTACTGATTGACGGCGATAAAATAGTCTAAATTTAAAGATGGAATTATTAATTTAATTTACTATTAATTAATTTCAATTTATTAGCATGCTGGGGGAGTTTCCAGGCCGTGCATTTCGTTGGCAGCAATGCAGGGTACATTTAATCAGAATTTTTTTAGTCGTATAAAGAAATTAAGATAATCTATTATATTAGTAATAAATTATTAATCTCTTTTTTTTTTTCTTTTTCTTTTCCGGTGTCACGTATGGTGTCTTTGTGCCACCATTCTCTGTGAAATTTCAGGGAAATCTTGCAAAGTGGAGATTGAAGGAAGGGGACAAAGTTGGACCTGGTGATGTTCTTTGCGAGATTGAGACGGTGAGCTTTCTTCTCTGGCACTACTTGCCTTCACTTTGTTCACCCTTTTTTTAATTTATTTTAATTTGGATTAATTTGGATCGTTTCTCGATTTATGGATTTATGTGTGTCATCATTGTGCAGGGGCCATGCTAATCTTCAGTCTCTGTATTGTTCCAATTTTAACGGATGTCTCGACGGACACTTTTGTCATCTATTTCTTGGTCTTTTGTTTCACTGTTTGACTTTTGTTTTTCAAGGTTTTGTTTGTCTCATCTGGCTGCCTTCTTGTGGAGATCATAATATAGTTATATTATATTATACTATTTGTTAATTAAACTTCGTTTTTTTATTTTTTTTTTGGTTTTACTTTTCCCATATAATATTTGGGATTCTTCTTATGAATTGTTCACTAGCAACTGTGCTGCTATGGAATTTTTGAGTCCTGATCGAGGGGGCTGCCTCCTTGCCCTTGTTGCTGTTGGTTCTGTCCTTTCCTCTTTTGGAACATTTCCCTATTCTCAGGACAAGGCAACATTGGACATGGAGTCCCAAGAAGAGGGGTACTTAGCAAAGATTTTAGTCCCTGATGGGACTGCGAACATTCCGGTGGGCAAGGTGAGTAAGATGATTGATTAATTGGTTGGTTGGTTGACTGATTGATTGGTTGATTGATTGATTGACTGATTGATTGGTTGGTTGGTTGGTTGGTTGATTGATCGATTGATGTTTTTATTTTCTTCGAGATGCCGTTCTCTCCGATAAGAACATCACCCATCCATGAGCAGCAAGAAACACAACACACAATTACAGGGGGTAGCCGAATTTCAAACTGAGTAGCCGAATTGGAGTTTATGAAAGGTGAATCTGAGTCCTAGTTGCTGTTCCAAGAGAAAACCAGGAGGTTGCTCTGATACATAAGCAAGCAGCAAATGCCTATGAGTTGTTGGAGATGCATGTACCTATGCTAGGACCTTTTCCACTGAGCTCTGAACGTGATTGCAGTCGGATGCATGCAGGTCTGGTCATAATTGCAGTCAGATACATCGAGGAACTTTCTACTGTCAGTATGCCCTGAGATGTGTTTAAATGTGTTACAATTGTGATCGCACTTGCAGCACAACTGTGTGCAGGCATATGTTTCAGACATGACATAGTAGCTACTGACACTTGTCACAGTGAAAGGCCATGTATGCTGGTGCCTCTGTGTGTGTGTGTGTGTGTCTCACAGAGAGAGAGAGAGAGAGAGAGAGAGAGAGAGAGAGAGAGAGAGAGAGAGAGAGAGAGAGAGAGAGAGAGAGAG